AAATTTATTAACTCTTTAGTTTAATTTTTTTTTTTTTCAAAAATCTATTATTACCTAACAAGCAATGTACCTTTATAAATATTTTTATGAACGTATTTTTAATAGCTTCACAGTGTCACCAATAAATCGATTTAGTAAAGATCTAATTTAGTTACTAGTGAGTACTATCAAACTATAATATTTCTGATTTAATTAATGTAAGTACTTACATCCTAAGTAAAGGAAAAAATTCAATTTAATTGGTAACAATTTTTTGTTCACATTTATATTGAACATCTTTAAAATGTAATTTAAACTTAATAGAACAACTATTAATCATGATAAAAATATTTTGATAGCTAAATATATTTACAGCACTTTTAATAAAAATGTTGTGTTCATCATCGCGACTATGTTTGGAATGAAACAAAAAATAATTTATCGAATAATTTATATTCAGTAGAATGCGTTGGTCCACATTCATACTTAAACATGGTATAAAAAGAAGGCAAGTAATGAAATCGGTGGAGAACGAGAAATATCATGATTGAAAAAATTATCAAGTGGGTACACATTTTTTATTCTTAAAATACATTTGTTTATCGATTTGGTTTTAAGATGTGCTTTAAAGCGTTTTTATATTCATTACCTAATAATTAAAGAACCTATTGGGGTAATAAAACTTAATGTTGACGATCGAAAGTGTAATAATTGTTTATAGTTTAAGCTTAACATTAATCCCATATTATTAATATTGGTTGGTTTTTATGATTCTAAAATCTAAAGTAATTCTCCAATATTCAGAAATAGCAAACTGATATTGGTATAATCTTTTGCAGTGAATCTAGGTTTATTCGCATTGTAAAACTTAGGGAAGTTTCCATTATACCTATAAGGATAGTATTCCTCTCTGATACATTGTTCCTTTCGTTTATGAATGATCTTCATTCTTCACCAGTCAACAGGTAGGAGAAAATTGGAACAAATACTTTTATACTTAGTTGTCTAAAGCCTAGCACTGAATATTTATTTTATTTCACTATAAATATTTTGTTCGTTTAGCAAACACTATAAGTTGGTAACGTTAAATTCAATTTTCTTGAATACAAATTTTCAATTTTATAAATTATCAAATTATCAACTCAATCATTTTAAAACAGGACATCCACATCATTCCACTTACAATAGAATATGTTTGCTTCAAAGTCAAACTAATATTAAACATTTTTCATCTATAATTATTATATTTCCTATTTCGTTGTATTGTTTAATTTATATTTTATCGTACTACTAAAATATTTGAATTTTATATCACGCATATATCTGAAAAATGGTAAAGTTGATGATAATTTTTAATTGAGTTAAATTAAAATGATAGAAAATAATTTAAAAAGTCAAAAGTTAATTAATAGTTATTCAATTTTTTTTTACTTAGTTAAATTAAAAGTTATTAGGAAACTTGCATGGTTAACTTAAGTTAAGTTATTTATTTTTTACATGACAAAACAGCTTTTAATATGGTTTGAAATAATGAAAAGTAAATTTGTATGCAATATGCAATATGCATCATCAACATTTTTATTATATTTAATATTGACTAAATCTCCACATATAAACGAAAGTGTACTTTAGCAATAATCAACGCAGATCCGAACCTACTTTGGAGTTATCGAATTTCAATTTTGAGGATAAATGAATATTATAATGTCAAGTTCCATTAAGAAAGAATTTTTCAAAGTTTTGATTTTTAAGGGTTGAAATAGGCAAAAATAAATTGTTCACGTATAAATTGTATATCTAAATACATACTTTGTAGCATAGTGACATGCAACCATAACTTTTGTCCGTCTAACTATGTGTTAGGTTAGATATGAATGGTTCCGAGAATTAAAATTCTACAATATATATTGATCTATGTATTTAAAAATAAATCCCTATTTTCCCCTTAGTCGAGGCATCACGGTTATCGCTTATCATTTGAAAAAGATCCATCTATCTTCTATCTATGATACAAAACAGTTTTATTTATATTTTCTTAGTTCTCATTTCACAGTGAAATCAATCGGAAGGTTAATAAACAATTTTACAGTGCGTTTTTTGACGAGTGTTTGTTCATCATGGTTAGTTTAAGCAATCACTCTCAAGATCTTAAACAAAATTAAGTCACCCGTGGGCTGCCGTGCCATACAATATGTGTATAGGTATAAAATTTGCACTTTTATTTCAATTAAAAACTAATTTTCCTCTCAACTCTCTTAATTTTTTTAGTAGAACATGGTATTTTTAAAACATTTTTTTGTTTTTTGTTGTCATTGGTTAATCGGGCAGATCAGGTTTAAGAATGTATCAAATCGAATTGTAGTACATTGCCTACCAAGGTGGCAGTCGGCTGAGTTACACTTATAGCCGTTCATCGGCATGTGCACAATCAAAATAGTTAATAAAATAAGAATTAAACATATTATCCATGTACAGTATATAGCGGGGTCCGCAATCCGCCGAAGGTAGCTCGATAGCCTATCTGATAATATACGGATCACATTATCACAATCTAGTCTCATACAGAGTTGGGCTTTTTAAAGAGCAACAAAGTGCAAGGGATCATCTAGAAAAGATATAATATAATGATATAATAGATATTTGTTTCGACACGATACTACGACAGTTAATTTGTCTAATGGCGATCGTACGTAGCAACGGCTGCAACTGATATATTTATGGCATAGAAATACTTGCCGCAATTATAAACTACAAGCTAACCCAACATTTTTATGAAGTTAAGAGTTGTACGGAAAGCACTGAATAGCTGAAATCGAAATTTATCGAAACATAATAATACTTTTCTCATCGATATGCGATAGACGTGTTCAACTATACAAATTATAATTATATAGCTCCATAGAATCACTTTTTAATAACAATATGTGCATATCATCATTAGAATCATTTGTAAATATTATTCATATTTATTATTTTTGTTTTATATATGATTCAGTTACTACTACTATTTAGCATTTGATAGCATTCAGTAAAATAATTTTATTTCTCCTTTAAATCACAACAATGAATGTTGATTTAAGAATTTCATTTTGAGAAAACAAAAACTACGCACGGGCGAAGCCGGATAATTCAGCTAATTAGACAAAAAAAAATTAATTATTTATTTGTTTTAATGCAGTTATATGTACTTAACGAATTATTTTTCAATTGAACTGATAAAATCTAAGACATCTATGTACATATATAGGAAACCGACAATATTGACTCATCAACGCCCAGACCAAACCGCTGGGTCTAGAGACTTGACATTTTCTACAAGGGTTCCTTCAGCAATGTAGGGCGCACTAAGAAAGTATTTTTTTTTTAAATTTGACATCGAAAGGTGGTAAAATTTGGGTTTTTATATAGCTATATAATACACGGGCAACGCCGTGACGGGACAGCTAGTTATTTATAAATTAAGGTAACTTGGATTTGACTAAAAGTAACTAGTTATAAATATTTATTAAGTTTGTATTTATACAAATCAGTTAAGTCTTAAATTAAATATTAAGTTAATCAAAATTAAATTAAAAAATGTTAGGTTAAAAAGCTAAAATTAACTTAACTTTAACTTGTTTATGCCCAGGCTCTCACTTTATAAACACTACCTAGTCAAAACATCAGTATTAAATATATTTTTTGTCCCATGTTTTAAAATCATATCTTATTAGACTATTATTTTTTTTTGTAATACAATGTACAAAATATACTACAGTATATAATGCATGCAACTAAGGCATGAAAAGTAAAAATAAAAAAATATTTAAAAAATGGGGTAATGCGACTATAATTAACTAAAACGTAAAATCGACTCCAACTACTGGTTGACCTTTAGAAGTTGTTTTGATATAACTATTTTTCAAAAAACGATTTATCATTTGATTGACTATGAATTGTAAGATACACGTGATCAGAACAAGCACACTTAATATTTTGAAGGTCGCAATGCTCCTGATAACTTTGAACATGTAGCTATCAACGAAGCTTAAAATGGGCGTTCCTAAAACGAAACGATTTCGTGTCAATTCAATAATCTAACAGTCGTACAAATTATATGATACTATCCAATTCTGGGCAAGTTAACGATCATTTTTAGTTGAAAAGGTAAATTCTTTAAAATAGATATGGATGTATCAATGTGGTGGTCATGATCTTTTTTTTGTTATAGGTATAATCATGGCTGATAGCATGTATGTGGTTCTTCAGTTTTGTTTTCAATAAATAACATTCACCACTAAAGATTGAATTCGTCTTTCTTCAAAATGATAACACTGAAATTGAATATTCGTCGACAATAATAAATAAACTAATTCCTGAATACTTGCTGCAATTCACCTTCCGGCTTCCAGTTTCTATTCAACTAACGACAAGAGTAAAACTCGATGTCCTTTCATTAGAAAAGAATATAAAATCAAGACAAAAACAAATAATTTTAAGTTTTTAAATGTTGTTATTGATAGTTGTATAATTTTCTAACATTATTTTTGTTTCATCCCCAAATTGTTGTAAATATTGATTGCTATCTTTAGGTTTTGCGCTTCACCAATATGTACCAATGATAGTTACTGCATTTGGAATTTACTACTCTTGGATAAATGTCAACCATCAATTTACTCCAATAACAGCTTCATTCGTGTCTATTCCTCTTAAAGATGAATTTTCCGAAACTCTTTGTAAGCCCTCAGCTAAATTAAAATGGTAATATTCACCAGAATCTATCACGATAACCTCTTAACATTTTGTGTTCACATGTAATCTTTTGTTGTAGTTGATAAATGAAAAATACAAGCTCGAAGAATGTTCAGTAAATCATTCAAACTATTTTGGAAAATACTGCATGTTAATCCTCACTTCCTGGTAATATTTCTATGGATTCATTAAAACAGTTAATGTGCATAACAATTGGAATATTAAGAAACGCAAGGTTTAACGTAAGTTTATTATAGCAGTTCAAAAATAATAAAGATAAACAGGCACTATTATTTTTTATGTGCATTTTAAGTTCACATTATTACAAAATCCAGAAAATCCAGAAAATTAGCATATTACTTTTCAGCTTGAAATTCATATGTATATTCGATTTAACTAACATTAGAAATTTTTGTAAAAGTTCCCAACAGCTTTATTATCTTTTACAAAAAAAAAATTCACGTTGAAGTAACATTAATTTTTACAATCGTATGATATTCAACTTTTTACAATATTTCATATTCAGTGGTTTTTAACATAACAAACTTGTAAATCAATGAAATATTCACAAAACAATAATTCTTTATTTTT